AGATTTTATTTTATGGCACCAATTTTTGATGTTAGAAACATCTTCAGCAACAATCCCGTGATGTTGAACATCATAAGGCTTCAAAATATAGCAGAAAGAAGGCGGGTTCTGGCTCAGACTAACTTAGGTTTGAATCTCAGCCTCACCATGAATTAATTTACTTGTGTCTCTCTTCTTTTCTTTTCTTCTGTACAGTGGTGTGGTAGGCAGACTTTTTTTTTTTTTTTTTTTTTAGTGGTCACTTAACTCGACTTTATTGCCAGATAATCTTTCCTCAGGGCGCCCTTTGGATACCCACCCCTGAGCCCCTCTCCCCCAACCCTGGAGGAGGAGAGCCGAGGAAGGCTATCCCGGGGGCTGGGAAGAATCAAAGCTCAGGACGGGGGTCCCCAAGGAGCAGTCAGACAGGGCTGGGGCCAGGCGTCCTCTTCTTCCTCGGTTTCATTCTGTTTCTCCTGAGTTTCTTCATTCTTGGCATTTTGCCTCTTTTCCAGACTCGGGTGATCCAGATCCCCACGGCCAGGATTACCAAGAGCAAGAGGAGGAGCAACACCTTGGCCAGGAGGCAGAAGGCTGTTGAGGGGTTCTCAGAAGGATATCTGGGATCTGCACAGAAGGAGCCAGCAGGGATAGGACGAGAACTGACATTGCTGACAGGGTTGCTGGCCCTGCAGGTGTAGGAGAGGGCACTGTCCCCAGGCCTCCAGGATGTGCTGAGGACAGGGCCTTCATGTACTGTCTCAGTGTTGTCCCCCCAGCAGAGCCAGCTGTAGGTCACATCCATGCCTGCCTTCTCCACGGAGCATGTCAGGGACATATCACAGGTGCGTTCCCCAGAGATCTCAAAGTTCACAGCGATTTGGGGTTCTGACAGCCTTCGGTAGACATGTAGATTGTAGTGCCTCATGGCAAAGATCTGGGATGTCCCCAGGTTGACTTGAGCTTGGTAAAGCCCTGAGATGATGGCTTTCAGGTATTCATGCCCTTGAGTAATCACCGACATTTGTGGATTGGTTGGATCTAGCGCATTGCTTCTAATGAATAGAACATGACCAAAGTGCTGGGCTATCATTTGCAAGATTAGGTTACATAAGAACTGTAACCCCATCTAGTGGCCCCCTCTCTCCCTCTCTCCCTCCCTCCCTCCCTCTCTCTCTTTCTCTCTCGTTCTCGTTGATGTCTGGCTAATAGCCAGAAAGGACCTGAGGTTCGCCAACAGCCGTGTGAGATGGGAGTACAGTTTACTGGAAGCTTGGAAGTGGATCCTTCCCTAGTCGATCCTTGAAATGACTCCAGCATCAGCCAATACCTTGAGTGCAGCCCTGTGGGAGACCTTGAAGCAGAGGACCCGGCTAAGCGGGTCTCACAGAAGCTGTGAGTTCAATAAAAGAGCATTGTTTTAAGCTGCTGAGTTTG